AAAAATTAACACATGCAACCCACAGTTACAGCTGCTTCCACTTCTCCCTCTCTAAAGAGACCTGAGTCTTACCCTAGAAAGGTCCAACAAACAGAATGGTAGTGAACACAAGTTTTAAAATTACTCTCACTGCCCACATTCCAAAGTGCAAAGTAAAAAAAAAAGCCAAGGTGAGCCATTACAACCTTTATGAGAAACTAGAAAGTTATTCAGTTCATTATCTTCCCAACCAAATTATTTTACAACTTAACTCACTGTTAAGAAACTTTATGCTGGAGGTCAAGTGTATTATTATCAGAAATAATTGATTTTATTTCTGCTACACTGATGCAGTCTACCCACATACTTTCAGGAAAACTGATTTTCTCTACTAACATCATTATGATGTACGTGTCCTTATCATTTAACAAAGCTTTGCAAGCATCTTTTCATTTCAAATTCACAATCACTTCACAAATTCTGTATATTTTGTGCATTCAGTATTTACAACTAAGAATTCTTACAGAAGAAACAGGTTTTTCTTACCTTTCATGTACAATGCCATATTTGTAAATATTGCAGAAAATACTTATATCAAATTTAATAAAATTTTTTGCTACCAGAAATACAAGCTCATTTACTAATACGGAACTTAGAAAACTAGTTTGAGAAATATTTTGGACTTTGATTACCTGATAATAGCCTTTGCTGCTCTAAGAACAGACTCCTGTGCTTGTGTCCAGCACAGTCAAATTACATATTAAACAGCTATTATAAAACAGGTAGTGATGGTGATTAACATAGGCTATGACTGTTGCTAGCTTACTTGTATGTCTGTTCTAAGTCCACATCTCTCTGCTCAGCAATACCACAAGCTACTAATCAGTGAGAGTTGGGTACCTTCTGTTTTAAGAATTTGTAATTTGGGTATTGTGCATCAAAGCCATGAAAGATCAGAGCAGTACACTTCCCAATAATTAGAATGCAATACCATAGAAGAAGGTGTAGAATTAAACTAAAGAAGAAAACTTACTTGAATATATTCAATCTCTTCATCTGACATTTGTTTCCTTCTGTATTTCTGAGGTAAGATTCTTGCTAATTCAGAAGTGTCTGGTGTACCTCGTACTCTACTAACAGGTGAAATATTTTGAAATGCTGGTGATCTACCTCCTACAGACTCTTGTGCTTTTGAAGCATGGAGAGATGGCACATTTGGTTGTAGAGATTCCTATACTGAAACCCAGATTGCAAAATCATTTACAGAAATACTACCAGTCAGTAAAATTAATAAGCAACTAATAAAAGATACCAGTGCTTGAAAATCTTAGAAGAATTAAGTCACTCTTCTTCTCACAACCTGGTTTTATTGTTGTTAAATGCATCAAGTGCAGAATCTAAACATTCTGACAGTAAAATAAAGCATGTTTGAGTGGCAGAAACACTGATATAGAAACAGAAGATACATCAACATATACCCTAACAATGGTTTTTTCCCTGGGAAGCTGTACTTGGAGTAAAAGCATAAAGTACTATAATGTATGTTTGTGAGCAATTATGTAGAGAGATAACTAAACCAGCTAAGATCACTTTTCGTTTATGACAACTGTAAAGACAGACAAGTCAAAAAAGGTAGAAGCTTACAAAAAGATAAGTTTACAACCACAACAGCAGACCATAACATGCAATGCAGTGCTGTACCCATCTTTAATATTAAAAAATGGCACCATATCAAATTTTGTTAGTGACGTGCAGAATGACCACCAAGTATCAGACATCAGCAGTCAATATTAAGACATCTCCTGCTTTCATTTCAGATGCTTTGTTGATCCCAAAGGACTACTAAAACAACATATTGCTAATATAAATCTGAGGTTTAAATATAACAGTATTGGGAATACCATAAATATCAACATAGATACAGGTATAAAAGTTAATGGCAAAGATTGCAATGAAATTATTTTTTTCCTCAACATTAATTAGTAACATGAGGAAATATTTCTAAAATGTAGAGTGAGATGGCTCTCCCAGCTGTAATCATGTTTTGAAAATACAGCAGACATTGCACACTTCAACTAAGAAAAGATGAGGAAAATGCAACATCATTTCTGCAAATATTACTGAATATCTAAAGCTGCTTCAAACTGACTTGAGCACAGTTATTTCAGGTAAATATTAGTATTTGGAAAAATGTGACTTTTATACATATAAAAGTAGAAAAACAGCACTGGAAACCTTTGTGAATCTGTCTTGATCAAGGAATAAAGACATGCATGCATTATGTGTGTACACAGATTTGTACAGAGACTTTAAAGAGACAAAGAGTTGCCTTCAAACTAAACCAAACATGTTTCAAAAATCCTGCTCCAAATCAGTTGAGTCAGAAAGTTGAAAGAGAAAAATTGTGTGCTGGTTCCTATATAAGACCACTTTTTCTGTCAGGGAACTTAATTAATGGAGTATGTGGCTTGACTACCTAGGACGAAGCAAGATAGTGGGAGAAACAAGAAGCACAAAATATATTTCTAGAAGCCAGTTACCTTCAAAATAATAAAATGAAATGTACAATGTATCAAACAACCACACTATACTGCTACTCTCTGCACTACTACTCTGATACACTTACTACTTCTTAAAGATCCAAGTTTACCCCAGTAAATTTCACTTTTAAAGGTATTTCTGCACTCTGATGTCCAGACCACTTACAGGTGTTATCTTCCTTTTCTCACAGCAACATCAGTGTGTGCAGAAACAGTCACTGTTGTTGCATAAATTCAATCACAGTGCAATCTGCTCTGGTGAGATCCCATCTGGAGTGCTGTGCCCAACTCTGGGGTCCCCAAAACAAGACTTGTTGGAGTGAGTCCAGAGCAGGGCCATAAAGAACAGAGGGCTGGAGCACCTCTTGTATGAGGAGAGGTCTCTATGAGACCTGGGGTTGTTCAGCCTGGAAAAAAGAAGGAGGGGGGTCTTACAACCCAAAGAATGCCGATTTATACTAGATATAATGGAGAAATTCTTTACTGTGAGGGTGATGAGGCACAGTCACAGGTTGCCCAAGAAGCTCTGGTTGCCCCATCCCTGGAAGTGTCCAAGGCCAGATTGCACAGACCTTTGAGCAACCTGGGATAGTGGAAGGTGCCCCTGCCTACAGCAGGGGGGCTGGAACGAGGTGACCTTTAAGGTCCCTTCCAACCCACACCATCCTGTGGTTCCATAAAGCTCTAGTAGAGGGAACCGCGATCGCTATGTTCTGCCTGTACAAAATGTTTTCACCTTGGAGAGGGACAGCATAGGAAGGAGCTACCAGCCAGCGCTGCACCCTCTGCTATCACAGCACCTGCGACACCCATGGGCGACACCGCACACCTCTCCCCAAGCACACTAGTCGCTCAGGCGGCGTGTCCTCAAGCCACAACCACCTCAGGTCTCCTTCTTGGCGGCAGTAGCAGGCAAAGAGAACCCCTCCACACGAGTCAAGGCTCTGTTGTCCCGAGGCCACCCTTACCTGCATCGCCCTGGTGGCGGCCACCATCTTACTGCCCATGGTGACGAGCACAGACAGTAGCCATGGCCAAAGGCCTGCAGAAGGTTGCTCTGTCAGGGTCTTTCAGTTTCTCCACATCCCTCTCTTCTCTCCAGCCCAGGCTGTCCTACAGTGTCCATGCCCTGCCCCTTTCCCTGCAGGCTGTCATCATCCCCCTGACTGCCCCACCTTGCTGGCACCTTCCTGCACTGACATCTCTCTGTCCTCCCTGGTTCTTCCTGGACACACAAAGCCTTGGGTTCATCCAGACTCCTTCTGGGTGATGTCTTGCAGCACAGCGTTTTCCATGGAGTGAAATTCCTTTTTCCTCATGTCCACTCTGGACCTCCCCAACTGCACTTGGCATTAATCCTTTTCTTTCTCATGCTCTTTTCTGCTATGACAAAAGGATCCACCCTCTCTAAATCCTCCCTTCAAGCCCTCTGAGGGCTATCCTGTTGTCATAGGTTGGCTTGTTAAAAAAGTTCAAGTAGGAATTTTTTCCTTTCCCCTGCCCCGCTGTGGGAGAGGGGGAAGGGGCAATTGACTGTACAAAAGAGCTGGCTGGCAAAAACTGCATTCCAGGCTAATGGCCCATCTAAGACGGGGGGGAGGGAGGAGGGGTTTTTGCTGCTGCCCTTCTCACAAATGGGAGAACAATTTGGTTTCTCTACTCGAAGGGAAACGGGGAGTCTGTGTGCATTTGGAAAAGCTTTGAGGTCGTTTTTCTTGCTCTCGACCTGGTCATTTCTGACCACTCATCTCAACTTGCCTGCACGCTGCCCCTGCCTCCAGCCCGAACCTGCTGCAATTTCATCGGAGAGTTTGTGTTCGCTGGGAGAAAAACAGGAGTCTTGAGCACTGCCAGTCAAGGACAGCGGTGAGTTCCGTGGGAAGTGGACTGCCCTTCTTTCCCTTTCTTCCCTTTTCCCCTCTTGGTGGGGGAAGCCCTCCACTTCAGCTTCTCCCGTGATCCGAGACCCCACGTGGTGACTACCAGAGCCCAACAGTGCCCCCTGCGGGCCACCACAGAACACTGCAGGTTCTGCACCTCCAGTGATCCAACAGCGCCCCCTGCCAACCGTGATTAGAGACGTGTTAGAGGACAGAAAAGTATTTGGACTGTTTCCTTTTTGAAGGGGACTTTTGGGTACAGGATTATTGCCTAGTTGTTTTTGTGTTCTGTTACTGTCTTTGTCAACATACATATATATTTTAATAAAGGGTTGTTATTTCTTCCTTTTTTCCATACTTCCTTGATTGGAACCTCTTAATTTTGGATTTACAATTGCTGAGAGAGAGGAGTTTGGTCTATCTCATAACTCATCCTCCTTAGCAAACAGTCCAGTCTCTTTAAACTGAAACACCTGTACTGTCTTCAGTATCCACACCATTGAGGCCACAGCTCCTTAGCCCCTCTCTAGTGGTCATGTGCTTGAGACCTTTAAAGTCCATCTCAGGAGATCTCTGGGCACTCACTAAAGTTTTTGCAGATGAAAATGTCGTGCTCATCGTCTAAGGAAATCACAGGGATACTTTTTACCAAGGTCTGTAGTGGCAGAACATGGGGCAGTGGCTTTGAACTAAAAGAGTTTTATATTGGATAATAGGAGTAAAGATTTAACAATAAGAGCAGCAAGAACTAGAAGAGGTTTCCAGAGAAGTGGATATCCAATCCCTGCATTTGTCCAAGGTCAGGGAGTGTGAGTAACCTCAATTAGTAAAAGATGTCACTGTCCATGTCCAAGGACTTGGATAAGATGACCTTTTAGATCCCTTCCAAGCCAAAACATTCTGTGATTCTTTTGAGTCTAAAGTCCCAAACTCCTTCTCCAAAGAATTTCCATATTGGGGACAGGAATTGCCATGTTTTTGGAGACACCCTTCTAAGTCCAAAAGGTAACAAAATAATTCCAAAGAAGTTCCAAGGTATCTGTATGAAACTTTAAGCAAGTGGGTCAATGGCAGAACCTCTCAGGGTGACCTTGCAGCTGAGGATGGGGGATTCGACCTTGGAGTCTGAGACTCCAATACAGAAAGGGTATTTGGGGACTGGGCAAGACTTGTCATGGGATGTCTAGGAAAGAACCAAAAGCAAGGGTAGGATCACAGTGGTTTCTGGAGGAACAAGCATTAGAAAACAGAGCAAAGAGGATGAAAAAGTTGGTCATGTTAAACAGGAGGCTGGTCAAGACACGCCCTTGGTTGTGCCCTGCAAGTGATCCCCACAACCTGTCCCATTTTTTTAATAACTCATTGCCAAGGAGTTTCTGTGGGGAGGGACCTCTCTGCTCCTGGCACAGATTGTGGCCCAAGTTCCAACCACTGCAGCGGGAGCCACAAATAGTCAGGTCTTGTGTTCTTTGCGGGACCAGAATCTTCCCAGACTGTGTGTGTGTGTGTTGGAAGCACAAAACAGTGAAGAAAATGCAAAGCTAAACACACAATGCAACCTGGATTTGCCCCTAAGTGGGGGATGAGAATTGGACACAACATCTGCAGGGACAGATGGAGGGGTTTGTCCCCCTGGCCCTCCCCACAAGGGACACCTTTCGGGAAGGGTTGTGGCCTTGGTTGTGCTGAGTGTTGACTCGGGCAATGCAGCTTGTGACTGCAGTGGCACTGTCAGGTCTCTGCAGAGCTACTCGGAGTTAATGCATTTGTCCCCAGCAATCCCAGAGAACTGCAGGGGTTGCAGTC